CATGGGTTTCAATTGTGCTAACAAAATATTGATAATAATAATTTGAGTTAATGAAAATTTGAAGGTCTTTTACAGCAACATGATCATCACTTAACCTATTTAAATCAGCTGATTAAAAAATTCTGGGTGTATCTATTCAAAATAACTGGTCATTGGTTGTTTGGTGTGGTTTTTGAAGCCTCCTAACTCATATGGATAACTTCATTATCTAGTACATTATAGAAATTTTGCATAAATGTGACCTCAAATAGTGAAGCAACATCATAACTATTTATTTGATACTGAAAGCAGGCATGATCTTTGCCAACAAAAATCTAAACTATATAATGCAGATATTTTGTGTATGTATGGTTCTACTGAATTTATGCAAGAATGTAGTTTTGTACTGAAAGAATAACCATTGACTCTAATTTTTGGTGGCTATTCTCTGTAGACACATTTGTACAATACAGAATTTTAATAAATTAGTAAGATGTTTTGATGCCTTTTGAACTAATTTATGAAACCACACATAAAAGAAAAAGTAGATACATCGCTGCTTTGACATAGAGTTAAAAAGAAACGCAATCATCACAATTATTCAAATAGTCCACAGTGTATGTTTATCCAAGTATAGATATATCTTCGAATGTAATTATTTCAACCCAATGTTTTCAGGGCTAAGTCTAGAGTGATTTACTTCGGATGTGTTGTGATTCTTTTTGAGACAAGTGGCAGATGTTAGGAAGACATTGTTCAAGTGCTTGAAAATTTAATTTTGAGAATACATTGAACAGTGAACTGGGATTTTTTACATGACTACATTATAGTTTTAGTATGAGCCTATCCTTGGGGAAAAGTAATGTGATATTAAACCATAAAAAATATGTGAAACTGGTGTGGTGGTATGACGCTTTAGAGACTAGCTATAAAGAGGTGGAGTTATTGTGAGCATAGAGGAATAAAAGTGGACTCTTCTTGAAAATTTTAAAACATATGGGTGTATGTATATGTGCTTGTATATATATATACACACACATATATGTACACGCACACACAATGGTTTAGAAGTGGATCATAGTATGATGACTCTGCCAATATGTCTATGTAATAAAATGGTGTGCATTGAAACTACATACGGTGTTGGCTTTCTTTTTATTATAAGACAAAAATAGTTTACCCCAATGGCTAGATGAATAAATATGCTGTTCTGAGATGGGCAGGGGACAGGATGCTCTGAAGGAGAAGAAAGAAACAGTCACAGCTAGAGGATATAGAGTTACCAAAGAATATTATTTGGGATAGGAAAGACTGGAACGTGTTCAAATGTAGACAGGGAGTGGTTGAAGATACACAATGAAATAATCATAATAAGAACGTGAAGTCCCTGCGGAGGCAGGAGGAAATAAGGTACAGATCATAGGAGACAGAATTAACTACAAGTAGGACTGAGATTGCAGGAAATCTCACAAATGAAACCACAGTATTTAGAGAATGTGGACGGCTTACTTGAGTTTGTCAATTGGTTGCTACTGGCGGTTGGGGTGGACAATAACTCATCGTGCAGACTGACCTGTGCATTTTAGGCATTTAGCATCTTTGGTCCCTACCCACGAAATGCCAGGAGGACAATCCAGTCATTCTAACAATCAAAAATGTTCTAAAAATGTTTTACCTATATCTTTGTTAGGGAAGTATTATCTAATTTAGAACCATATGAACATGACCCAGAAAAGCCAATTTTAATGCTACCCACAAGTGTTAGACCTGAGTTACTCAAGGTCATAAACTCACTGTTCTAAAGTCTACCTATATTATCCAATATCATAGCAATTATCCACACATGATTATTTAAATTTAAATGTAAATTAATTAAAACAAAATCAAATACTCAATTTCTCCAATAAACTAGCCACATTCCAAGTGATGATGAATAGCTGCATATGGTGACAGTTATACAATATTTCCACCCTCTCAGAAAGCCCCATTGGACAGTGCTAGTCAAAAGCACACAGAAGGAAACTGTCTACTCTCCCTTAGCTTTTGTACAAGTTCTTTCATAGTCAGCCAATTATTATTAAAATAGAAAGTGTGAAAAGAGTTGGTAAATATTCCATGGAATTTGAAAGTTGATGGACCAGTTAAATCCATGGACTGAGCAAAACTATTAATAGCAAAAGTAGTAGACCAACCCATAATAAAGTTCAGAACTGCTTTAGAGATTTCACATTAAAGAAAAATTCTGTTCACAGGAGGAGTCCACTAAATTACTAGATATTGTATGCTAGACTGGCAAAATGGGATGTGTAACTCCTATTTTTGGAGAAATTTATTCTACCTACTACCATGTATCAATGAATAATCCTGCATTTCTTATGCTTGGAAAGGTGAGAATAATAAATACACTGCACCCCACTGTATCTTTTGACTAAATTCAAAAATGGCATGTTTAAAAACCTTATGTTCAAAAGTACATTTTCAAAGATTATTTAGCAAACATGTTTCAGAAAGTAGAAGGAGCATCTTAAGTACCATTTGGTTAGAACACTGTTTCCAAATAAAGTTTCAAAACTTGGCATCACTTCATTCTTTTCTTCTTTAAGTCATTTTTTTTCTGGAAACATATGTAATATTTCTTACTCAAAGTGTATGACGGCCAAGAAATTCAATTATTCCAAATCCATAAATCACAGGTTATCATTTACTCATAACGGAGCAAACCAATTCAGAAATTGCTGTGGATGCGGATGCCTAGCAAAACTATACAGAGGGATTGGGTTTTTTACTCCCTTTGCCAGAAAAACTATTTATTAAATACAAAAGTTCTTTACTAGGAATGCATTTCCTAAGCAATAGATTGTTAAAAATTCAAGCTATAGCTAAAGAAATCATTTCAATATTTTAACAGTTCAATATTATCTATATTAACTAATTATAGTGAAAAGAGACCCCTTCATTTTAGGCATATTGCCTTCATTTAGTTGGAAATCTTGAAGGACTAGGAGTCACCTTTACTTTTCTTCATGTCACCTAGGAACTCTTGATTTCAAAGTTTCTTCTTCATTAACACCCAAAGGCTCTACTTCTTTAGCCACACAATACATTGCAAGCCTTTCCCCAAAGCCAAAATGTACTATGTTACTGAAAATTGCCAAGGAGACTCTAGACCTTGACAGAAACTTCACAGAAAAATCTAAAATTTTGTCAAAATTGCACCAAGACTTGTATTAACCACAAGTAATCAGGACTCATGCCCACCCCTTGCTATTAACCAATCAGGATATTGGTACCCACCTAATCACAAAGACCAAGGTTCTCAAACAGCATTCTATAAAGTACTCTAAGGGCTCTGTTTAGATAGCTGTCTAGATGTTCACTGCTTCATTACTATCGAAAAAGTCTTTTGAGATCCAGTCTTCTGTGTCTTTCTGTCTTCTAAGTATATTAGTATTGTCACATCAACCTCTGAGAAAATAAAATAAAATAAAAGCCTCAATATTCTCTGCAATAAAGAGAATGGCTGGAGAGAATGTCAAGTGTTCAAGTCACAACATAGCGAGTAGTAGTAATGTTAGCCTATTACTATCCAGCAGCAAAAAGGATGGTGAGGAAGCAGGTGAAAGGTAGCCATTTATCAAGTACCGTTTTCCAAATGCTATTGTAATGTACATTACCTATTAATGTGAATATGCGTCTGTTATATTAATATCATTTATTTAACATGAAATAAGAACATGAAGTAAGTGGGTTGGCAGCAATATTTCACCTAAAAGGTGAGGTTATTTCTGGCTGTAACCATGAACCTTAAAGCCATTCAACCAAATCATACAACACACACACACACTGGTCTGTAAAACAAGCCACAACTCTATCCCCCATATGAACCACTCTCCTT